GACGTGCTGGAGGTTGGGAGTAATAAAACAGAGAGGACTCTCCGAATATTTTTTTTTAAGTAGTAACATTCAGTAAATATTTATATTTGTAACTATAAAGGAATCTGTCATGTTTCTATTAGAACATGAATCGTANGCAGTGTTTCCCAAAGTGTGGTACGCGTACCCCCAGGGGTACGGGAACAGTTTAGCAGGGGTACGCGTTCTTATGCGAAATATCTTGCAACAAACGAAAATTACAAAAAATTTTATTTAAAAACAAAGCTAGCCATGAAAATTTACGATTACGTATTTTTCTATTGGATATTTTTTGCAGAGTTAACAGTTAATAATTAGTGGTGTCAACAGCCAGTTGTGATTTTTACTTTTTGGGCGATTTTTCATAGTAAAAAATTCATTCATTTTTTTATTAGGGGTACTCAGCGTTACGAACAATTTAGAAAGGGTACACAAAAATCATAAGTTTGGGAAACACTGGGATAAGGTAACAAGATTTAAACAGATGAATAGCAATATATAAAAAAAAATGATTAGAAATTGAAAAATGCACCTCTAATTTCTTTTTAAAATTATACATTATCAGTATTCTTTAAAATGTTTTCAGAGCTTTTGTTTTTCCCTAGGAACATATTAATTTGAGAACCTTAATGTGTTTACTGTAAAAAAAAAAAAAAAAAAAAAAAAAAAAAAAAAAAAAAAAAAAAAAAAAAAAAAAAAAAAAANAAAAAAAAAAAAAAAAGAAGAAGAAGAAGAAAGAAAAGAACCTGTCTATAAATTTACAGTTTTAAAACTCGCAGCTGGGTGATTGTTGTGAAAAACCGTTAAACTTACGATGCAAATCCGTAGCCTCAATGGTATTTTACCAGACAAGAACAAGTTTTCCATCAAAAGTAACAAAAAATCCGCAATCAAAACGGTTTTTTACAATACAAAAAAAAAGAAGTTTTCTCCGTAAAAATTATATATACATAAAAAAAATAATACTGTGGACAAAAAGTTTTTTCTTCTTTTTTCTTCTTCCACATACCAAGTTAGTTTTTTCTGTAAAAGTTAATCTGAAGTTAAAACGGAATTTTTTCCTATCGGGGTAAGTTTATTCTGTGAGAGTAAAGGAGTAAATTTGTACTTGAACAAGATATGAATATTTTACGTCTGCACCAGAATTCGTATCGACCAGCCACCCCTGGGATCCGAACCTGCGTCTCCTCTTTAGGAGATGAGCAATCTGTCATTTGAGTCTTTGCAGATTCAGTGATTTAAGATTTTTTTATATTATTTTGTAACTGGTGTTGAACAGCCTCCCCAATTTTTAGTTTAAGACTATCAATGTTCAAATTCCTGTATGTACTTTTGAACCCTATTCAGAAGACAAGGGAACTCTTGGGTTAGAGTCTCCTTGCCGCCAGGCAAGGAGACTCTAACCCAAGATCCGTTTACCACTGAGGATATTTTACGTCAGCAATGTGGTTGGTGCGAGCCAGGTGCGGACTTCATAATGACCAGCCATCGCTTGGATTCGAACCCGGTTCATCCCACTGGAACGCGAACGCTCTATCCCCTGAACCACCACGTCTCAGTTTATATTATGAAGTTAAGTAAGGAACTCTTTTTACCTTAAATGTTTTGCAAATTGAAATTGTATTTAATTGCAAAAGCATTTAAAATTATAGTTAACCCACTCTTATAAGAATGTCTGGGCACGCTTATGATCGTGTTTGACTCATTGGTGGTTGGGAGTAATAAAACAGAGAAGACATTCAGTAAATATTCATATTTGTAACGATAAAGGAATTTGTTATGCTTCTTTTCGAACAATCGTGCATGAAATATTTATTGAAAAGTAAAAGCAAGTGCAGAAATTAATCGTAAAGTGATTTAAGAAAAGGTTAATTTCTTGTACGGCTAGCAAAACAGCACAAGAAAAACCAAAATTTTAACTGACTGTATTCCGTTTATAATTAAGGTGAAAAATAGTTTTGTCAGCAAAATAGCTTTAAACAAATCCACCTCTTTTGGATTTTTAAAATTTTTTCACACTTAGCACTTTGTAAAAGTTTTTAAAAACAATTTCGGAATTTAACTTTTAGGTTTAAAACCTTCCTCTTTAAGAAGGAAAAGTATTTCATTTATAATTTATTTATATTTTTTTTATATTTTTTCAAATTTAATTTTAGTGTTTCTTCTAGGCAATTTGAAAATCTGATACTATATTCTACTAATTACCTCATATTACGTGCAGCCGTTAAGTTATTTATGAAAGTTAATTTGTTAATGTATAAATTATTAGCACGGGAAGGAACGCTTATTTTTTTTCTAAATTTATTTATTTCAATTAGTTACTATTACAACTATCACTATCGCGTTCAATTTCTACACGAAAACTGTTCTTATCACCATAGAAACATGCATTTGTTTAAACTCAACATAAGAGTATCTTTCAAAAGGACACGCGTTGAATTGTGTCAGAATCATCAATACTAAGTGCTGTTTCTATCAGTGGTTTAAATATATATGAAAAATCCCATTGTGAACAAAAGTTTTTTTTAGACTAAGCGATATGGAGCTTCTGTTCTCTTTATTAACAATTTAGTTAAGTTAGTTTGATGAAATAATAAAAGATAGTATTTTAGTATGTATTACGAATTATGGAAATTAAATATTTATGTATGATCACGTGTTGAACCAATTCAATTTAAAAGTGTAATTATATTTCTTTTTGGAGATTGACATTTATTTCCGAATTTAATTTTTAATAAGTCATTTAGAAATTTAATTTTATTTCAACTCAAATTTGCTTATTTTATATATTTTAAAATTTGTTTCATTTCCCATTATTTATTTTTTGCGTATTATTCTTTGCCAATTCTTTTTTTTTCTTTCGAATTCCGTTAACTACCAAGGGATTATCTTAAACTATTTTAATGATTTTCATTTTTACTTATAAATGTAACGTTGTTAACACACAAGAGTAAAAATTATGAAAAAAAGAACTCATCATTACTCTTTATTTATAGTTGCTAATTGGTCGAAGTTCTTGAAAACAGTCGTTAATAGTAAAGCCTTTAGTTTTAATATAATTCTTGGGGTTTAAATAATAAAGAATTAATTTAGAAATCTCATGTTTTGTCGAAAAATAGCCAATCTGCTCAATATAATTACAAAAGTTAAGGCTTACGCTTCAATTTTGATCTTGAAAATTTGATAAGCTTTTCATCTAATTAAGATAAGCGTGGTGATTTTTATTTTATTATTATTAAAAATATTTTATTCATATTTGTTAAAAATAAAACTCTGTATGAAATTATCATTACCAACTGTCCCTTTGTCGTGATAATTTCGCCCTATCTATGGTACGAGGCGCCTACTTTTATCTAATTCAATTACAGTGTAAAGAATTTTGTTGTATAATTGCCACTATTTTCAATGTTAATTTTTATAGTGCATGAAGTCATATTTTTTATTTTACTTTTTCAATATTATAGTTTCATTTATTCATTCATAAAGTTTTTATTTGTTTGTTTAATGCAAACACACATTTTCATGTGCATTAGAATAAATTTGTAACTTCATTGCTAAAATATTTCGTTTAAGAAATAAGCGCATTTTAAGAAATATATTCGCACTAATTCTTAAAAAGAATTGTCATTTTGAATTTTTTTATAATTTATTGCACGATAACTAAATTTCCGTACTTAAAAATGTATTTAGTTAACTTCAAGACCAAAAATGACTTTAACTGTACACCACAACATTGCAGTGTAGTGTTGACTCATAGAACATATTTTTTTTCTTTCTAAATGAATGCGCTCTCTCTCATTCAATTCTAGTTTTTCGTTTACGTGTTCACAAACAAGATTTGAAGAGTTCTACAATTTATTAAAAATGAAACTGAATCTGTTTGTAAATGAAGGTTATGCTTTGTTTTTATTTCATGTCCACAAGTTTCAAAGTTTGCGAAGCAAGCAGATGATGCGCAAATTTTCGAAATAAATAAATTCGTTTGTAATCCTTGATACACTTTTCATAGTGTTGGCTATACTAAAATATTGTCAAAATAGAGCCTTTCGAAAAAGATTCTCTTTGACCGATTTTTCTTCTTCCAAATATACTTAGAACCTTCTTTTTATTCCGAAAACACTAAAAAAATATTGGCCCTTTATCTATACAGAGATTCACTTCGTAGAAACTTGGGGAAATAAATATATGTTGTTCGCAAGACTAAATTGAGATCTTCCATTGAAAAATCTAACTTTTTTTTTTAAGAATGTCTCTTAAAACCTCTTTCCTCTTTCAATTAGCAAAAAGGCGTTTTAAGAATCAAAGTTTTTCTAATCGAAAATAGAATTTAGGAAAATCATCAAAGTTGCGTTTCTAAGAAGCATCATTAAATATGACCGGTCTGGTCTTGATGCCCTAAATAAAGTGATCAAGGTCAGGCAACTGTAATACGTAAATTTAATTTTATCACTAGTATATACTGACTATCCCCAAAATGACGAATTCGAAAAATCAATTAGCGAAAAATAATGTTATAGAAACAGATAGTTTGCTGAGTTCTGATCAAGAATGCAAAAAATGTATTCCCACTGAGTATCAAAAATAGTTACAAAGCTATGCAACAGATGGCACTGCTGACTTGGAAAAACTAAAAAACAATGTTTACAAACCAACCATCATTTGTAGCTACAGTATGAAGCAGTCTAAGGACAAAATCAGTAGACGTCCATGCAAATATTTCACTTGGAATGGTCAAGCGATCAGTATCGTTTTCTTGGCCAACTGCGCCATTTGTTGCCGAATTTTCTTACTAATTTTTAAAGTTGGTTCGAATATATTCATTCATTTCCAGTATAGAGCTCAGAAATCCGAACATTTTAAAATTCTTCCGCTTTATTTAAATTGATTTTTCATATTGTCTGTCATTTTTGGAAACTCCTAAATAAAGTTCGGCACAAGCAAAAATAAAAGATTTCTAACAAAACTTTCCTTTTTTTCTCTAGGGAACAATAGTACCAGCTGAAAACTTCAATGCTGAAAGAGCAGCAGCAAAATTACGCAAAGCTATGAAAGGTATTGGTGAGTAGCTTTAAGCTAATAACGTTATTATACGCCCAAACGTGAGTATCATTTGCCAATGTTCATTATGAAAGTACTTGTGTATGATTCCGACGATCTGGAAAGTTGGATTAATTTGCGTCAAATTGACATTGACACCAAATCATTTCATTTTGCAACCAGTGCGTATTTAATGAAAAATTAAAATAAAAAGTTACTTTATTTTTAAAAAAAGGTCGAAATTAATGTTTTGGAATAAACGATTAAGAAGCTAGTGGCACTTTATATTTTAATTTAAGGTGCCACTAGTTTTTTTAATCTCTAGGCAAACTAGCATTATATTTAACAACAAACACAAAAGCTATTTTAATGAAAAAGCTTAGAAGAATAACCACTTATTTGGTACGCTGTAGTTTTCCATTATAAGCGAAAAATCGATTTGTTTGGCGCCATTTTTTGGTTTTGCTTAACATGATCGACGATATTTTACGCAACTACTATTTTCCAAAAAATTTATAGGTATTTCTGATAAGTTTAAAATAATAATAACTGAAGGGTACATTTTTTTCAGGCACAGATGAACGAGCTATAATAGATGTCCTTGTGACACATTCCAATTCACAGAGACAAGAAATAAAAAGAAAATACAAAAGTCTTTATGGCAGGGTAAATCATGCTTTTAAAATATATATTTTATTAATAGAGAGATTTTGCACTCTTCTCGGGCCACCTACTGCTACCGTTTGTAAATAGATTAACATTACACGCGCATAAGTTTATTTTTGTGAGGCGATCTAAGAGTTGATTTAGTTTAAGGTTGTTTTTTAAGGCACCTGTCGTCGCACGAAATAAACTTTTCTTACGAATAATATGCTATTTTCATAACTGCTATCAGTGTTTGACTATTTACGTAACGTGTAGCCTATTTTTAGCCAGTGCGCTCTATGCTAATTATGAAAAGATCACAAAACGTCAATATGAAGAACAATTCTTTATTTTAAGAAAATAAAAAGCGTTTGTGATTTTGTTTTTTAATATTTAAAAAGTTACTCCAAAGTTTTAATATCTTGGCTCTTAAAAAAATTGCGAAAAACGAGAATAATTAATTGATTTTGATTACTTTCATTTAAGGGAAAAGGATCTCTCCAAATTGATAATATTTTCGAAAAAAATTTCAGTACTTTTTTGTGAAATATTTTAGTAGTTTGTCCATTCTAAAGCCCAGATAATTCTTTTTGGCAAAATGGTATCAGTAGTTGCCGCAATGGTATCTATAGTTACCGCAAGATAAGGTGCTGCTTTTTTTTATACTTTAAAAGAGCATTGAGCGTTTTTTTTATGCTTTCAGAAGAGCTTTGAGAAACATTGTTAAACTAGCATTTACAAACCTCCGCAATGGTGTTAAACGAGAATCTAGTTGATTGGACAGAGAGAGAAGAGTGCAAAATCTTTCGAAAATGTTCTACTCTCAGACCTTGATGATTTGAACTCTACTGAGAATATATTTGGACTAAGTAACAGCCATGTAGGAAAAGAAAACCACGAAAACTAGCATGGTTATTCTTATGGCAAGGGATCAAGATAAGCATTATATCGCAGGCTTAAACAGCTGACCTATATCGGGTATGCAATGTTCAATTTGGTTTGTCATGCCTTTTTAATTCCAACCCAGAAGGCAAGAAAACCATTGGATCGTACTTATTTCCTCTTTGGCACTACAAACCATGAAGGATCGTGACTTCCTAAGCCACACATTATCCAAACTTTTAAATCTTTGTCCTTCCTTTTCTTAGTTTTTAACTTTGATGATTTCTCGCCGGTATTTTTAAACCTAAAAACCTAGCAAAAGCTCATTTCGAGGCAATCGCTTCTATCCTCTGAACCATTTCGCCTCGGAGAGAATATTGGAAAGCAAGAGGAAAACTTTGAACATTAAACCTTCTACAGTTAAACAGATAACAAAGTGGTTTTATCCTATGATTGGCTTACCAACAGAGACAAAACATTTCAACGTTGTGGTCATTGTTAGATACAAATAGAGTTTGAGCTTTGTATCAGAAGAGAATGTTCCTCATCTATTTTCTATTTTTTTTTTTATAAAGTTGAGAACAAGAAGAAAATTAGCTGTGCATTTAAAAAACCTATTCAGATGAAGAATAATGATGTAATATATTAAAAAATTACAACAGATAATATATTAAGAATTTTGACTTGCTTTGAGTTAATGTTTACTTATATAGGTAGCTTAATTGAATTTTTTCCCTCTGTAGGATTTAGTGGAAGATATTCAAGCCGAATTAGGAGGCAATTTTGAAGATATTTGTGTAGCTTTACTGATGCCACAGATTGCGTATCTTGCAGATTGCTTCTACGATGCATTACAGGTACAACATAACTATTATTATTCAGTTTCCTTTTTCTTTCCTTAAATAGTGCTAAATGTTAGCTTTAGAATTAACTGCCTTCTAAAGTTTTTAAATAGTAACGAAAATATTATGTTTGTATGATAATGTAAAAATTTTATGAAATTAAAGTTTTAAAAACTACATTTTTTAGGTAGACTAACGAGGAGAACATAATATTACTCTTGTCAGAGCTCAAACGAAAAATGTTGGGCCCATCACATTTGAAATTTGTGGAGATATTTTCGGTGGTGATAGAATTTTATTAAAAAGGTGATGCCCCTGCAATTTTTATTTTAGGGCTGACAAAAATAAAATTATTTTATGTGTCGAAAACTTTCTTAACACTTTTTGAACACTGATATTTTATAATATGGATTATTTTCTTCGTTTTAGTTTCGAGTCTGTTTAGTTTTGGATTTATCTGTTTACTCTTGAAAGTGGTCAAAATTTAGACTAGTGATATATTTTGCTTGCACTATTTTGGAAACAACAATAACTTGCATGATTCAGAATTTCTATTAAAATTTGAGATCTCCAGCTAGTCAGAAAGTAGTCGAAATTTCTACCGTCTATAAATTTTATTTGGCAATAATTTAAAATCTGCTTGCTGCCGTTAGTAAATGAATGAAACGTGCATTGAGGACCAACAAAAATCTCCAGTTTAGTTTGAACACTCTAAGGAATGGAAATGGCTCAAATTGCGATCGAATGTAAATTTCTTTTGGCAATAATATGGTGTCTGTAGAGCTCAGAAAATAATTGAAATTTGTTCTGAAAATCAGCGTAGAATCCAGACGAGATTTAAGCTCTCTAGTTAGTCGGACAGTGGTTTGAAATTTCAATTGCAAGATCCTCCCTCCTTTCGTAAAAGTGAGCAACTGAAATAGTATATAAATGGTTTTTCCTTAAACTATTTTAACTATTGAACTATTGCAAATGGGAAATTTATGATTATAAAAATTTTTTTACAAGCAGATTTGAAATGCAATTTAAAGTATTTGCTTTTAAAGTACCACTACTTTATTATTAATTACCACTACTGTAGTACATTTACTTTATTATTATTTACTCTGATCTTTAAATATTTGAAACACAAAAAAATCGTTTTTATTTTTATTATTAATGTAAAATAAAAACATTTTTTTCATAAAAACAAATTAAAATTGTAAACGTGATCATATCAGTTAAATAATATTTTTTACAGTTTCGTGTTAAAATTATTTGTAGAGGTAGCGATATAGTAGTTGATTTACAATTGAAATTCTATTTTCATTTGTAATTATTTTTAACTATGCAAACACTTAATGCTTTCAAAGAATCTTGAAAGCGTTTTTGTATATCTAATTAAATTATTTAGATATAGTGGTGTGAATAAACCATTGCGAATTATTATTTATAAACTAAGAGCAAATATTAAACATTAAAAGTTAAAAGAAAAAATCACGAGAAAATCATGAGATTCGGCAACTAAGATAACATCATAATTGAACGGTTTTTATTACTTTACCCGGGCATTTTTCAAAACTTTGTTTAGAAGACTAGTTTCCTGTAAGTGTGTCAAATTTTGTCAAAATCGGACGAAAGTTTTGAATTGAAATGACACACACATATATTAAGGATGGTGATATGAGAAAACCGGGTGTAACCGTGTTCTATTAAAACAGACAAAAAAANAAAAAAAAAAAAAAAAAAAAAAAAAAAAAAAAAAAAAAAAAAAAATCTATATGTGCTCGAATTCCTATGCGTGCAACAATTTAGTTCTGTTATCGAGTTGCATACGAGATAAGTAATCGTGATTCCTGCAGTTTGCGAGGTATTTTCCGATTTTTTGCTGTATTAAAATCATGTACTAATTATTTTATTAATTTTTCTGCCCAAATCATCACTCAAAATACATATTTATAAGAATGGATTGCTGGGAATGGTTATGCGAACTCAGATGATACCTACTGATATTACTTGATTTAAAACTTCATTCACTTTAAAAATATACAAATCGGCAATAGCAGTTGATGTATTTTAAGCGCCTAAAAGCAGGCACCCGTTTTCAAGATTTGCCAGACGTGAATGAGTAGAAACAAAAGTGATTTGAAAGATAAAAAGCTACCATAGTAAGCAATAATAAGCATAAAAGCAAGCAATAGTAAAGTTACCCTCGAAAAATATGAAAAATAAAGGTGAGAAAAAAAGTGCAATAGCTGAGAGAGAAAAAAAAATGATGAACAAAACAAGAAAAATCACGATGGTCGAGAAGGGTAAAATACATTTCCACGTGCTATGGAAGGGAATCAGCATTCATAATAGTAAAATAAGATTCCAGGAAGGGTAAAATACATTTCCACGTGCTATGGAAGGGAATCAACATTCATAAGAGTAAAATAAGATTCCAGGGCATCAAGATAAGCTGATGTTACTCGGATGGAAATAATTTCGGCATTGTCGAAATTGAATTTATGCCCAAGATTTCAACAATGTGCAGCAATTGATGATATCTTGAATTCTTCATAATGGATATATCTATCGTGTTCCTTAAATCTAAATTTTGAAGCGCGTTTAGTTTTTTCGTTGTAGCCAAGGTTTATATTTGATACCTATTGATGCTTTAAAATTATTCTTAGACTTAAAAAGAGCATTTTTTTAAATGTCTAAAATACTGAACAATTAATTTTGTTTGTATTTATAAAAAAATGCATTACATCAAATCTTTTATCATTGTAGGGTTTAGGTACAGATGAAAAATGCATAATTGAAATATTATGTACTCATCATAACAGAGTAAGTAATAATTGAAATTTGTGCTAATTTACTTTTTGTTTATAGAAAGCATAATTGAAATATTATGAAATATTATTGAAAATTTAAGCATAATTGAAATATTATGTGCTCATTATAATAGAGTAAGTAATAATTGAAACTAGTGTTAATTTACTTTTTGTTTATAGAAAGCATAATTGAAATATTATGAAATATTATTGAAAATTTATGCATAATTGAAATATTATGTACTCATCATAACAGAGTAAGTAATAATTGAAACTGTGTTAATTTACTTTTTGTTTATGGAAAGCATAATTGAAGTATTATGAAATATTATTGAAAATTTATGCATAATTGAAATATTATGTACTCATCATAACAGAGTAAGTAATAATTGAAACTTGTGTTAATTTACTTATTGTTTATAGAAAGAATTAAAATTTATCATTAAAGTATAAATTTAATAAATAAAATTTAGAAACAATATCTTTAAAACGATAAGAAAATGAAAAGTTTGAGATTTGTGATTAATTCAATATGATAAAATGAGAAAAGAAAGATTTATCCTTTCATTAATAATTATTTAAGATATATAGAGTTTATCGTTAATAAGATTAGAAATAAAAAAAAAAATAACAAAGTAGTAATAATAATTTATTTATTTATACCAATAAAGTAAAATTCACTACATAAGAGTTTAAGTTAATGTATGAAATTAAAAGATAAATAGAATATGATTATTTGCTTTTTTTTTGAAATATAAACTTTTTGAAAAGAAAATGGCAGCGTTTAAATGCAGCGCAAAAGAAGAAATTGAAAATTCAGATTTAATAAAAATAAATTTAAGAGAAATATGTAACCCTTATTAAGACAAAGTCATTAAAAGGTTCATTGTCAGTACAATAAAAAATACAATAGAATGTAAGACTAGTTTTTAAATGTTTTGCAAATTGCCTTAATGTATTTACCCTGATAAGTTAACATAGGTTTTCACTTATCTTTTTTCCATTTTTTTTCTCATTCTAAAATTTTGTCCTTTCTTTAGGAAATCGAAGAAATAAAGTCTTATTTCAAACAAAGTAAGTAAACTTGATTTACTAATAAAAGATATGCCATTTCCATAAATGCTGTGAGTTAGCAATACTTACTCATGACTGCTAGATCAAATTAACAATAATGTTCGTTATGAAAATGAAACAAACCATCAATATGGAGAAATTATAAACATCAATATGGAGAAATACTGAAATTATAAAGCACCGTCCTTATGTGTTTTTAAAAATGAAAGTCTTTTTTTAAACGACACTTCTAGCCACCGTAAATGCAACACCCTGAAGGAAGCATGCAAATAACATGAAATTTACAACATGCATTAGCGGAGGTGAGATATGCAAATTATTAGAATTTCAGCGCAGACGCACATTACGTGCTCCAGTGGAGCCACTTCAAAGCGCTAGTTAAGGCGTTATGCACCGCCACACTGGTCCTGCACCGGGTATTGAGGTATGGGGCGGTATTGGATATTACTCTCGCACTCCTCTAGTACGCATTGCCGGTACTTTAAACAGCCAGCGCTACATCTCCGAGGTGCTGGAGCCAGTTGTTCTATCTTACCTTCAGAGCTTGCCCACAGCCATATTTCAACAGGATAATGCTCGACCACACGTGGCACACATTGTGCAAGGGTTCTTCGTCAATCGCCAGATTGAATTGCTTCCCTGGCCAGCTCACTCTCCGGATCTTTCGCTGATCAAAAACAAGTGGTCCATGATTGCTCAACGATTGACCCAGATTACATCCCCAGCTGCCACATCAGATCAACTTTGGCAACGTGTGGAAGCTGCTTGGTTTGCTGTTCCCAAATCTAAAGTCTCTTTGAATCAATGCCGAGGCGTGTGGCAGTTTCCAACAATGGCGGCTACTCTGGCTACTGATTTTGGCAAGAACCACACTTCACAAAAGTCTATAAATTTAATCATTTGATACTTGGTCAACATCTTATCTACAAAATAAATTTTGTTGTGATATCTCTTGTCTTTCTTGGTGTTGCAATTTGAGTGGCCAGCAGTGTATGTCTGAAATTTTAAAATGGGGATGATTTATGGCATATTATGTAACATGCCAAAAATAATCATATCCTTGATTGACAGGTGACAGACATTAGTTAAAGGATTCTCATTTAATTTTTTTAATTAATAATTAAATTTGATGACTTTAAACTTAAGTTCTTATTTTTCGAAATTCTAAAAAAAGAAAGAAAATAAATGTTCATAATTTAAATTATTTTGAATTAAAAGATAAATTTTCTTGAATTTAATTTGATAAATTTTTTATTCAGTGGGTAATAAATCAAATTTTTAGTGAGTAAAAATTTAGCTTGTAATTAGTGAATCGTTTTGGTCAGCAGTGATGATATGAACTGCAACTGGTCATTATTTGTAAAAAAATTGGTCAAAATTGCGACTTATAGGCATTAAATGCAATTGCAATTATAAGTAACAATTTGCAACTCTAAGCTTTGGAACTGCAGTAGCTCAGGAGATGTGGTGAATTGGGTTCGAATCCCACCGGCAAACCATAGGAGGTTTTCATGGTTTTCCTCACCATGTAAGGCAAATGCGGTTTAGTTCCATTAAAAAGTCCTTCAAGAAGACTATGCTGTCCTAATGCTTGATTTAGGTTTTTCCTTGTATTATGGGTTGGGTTCAAAATTACAAGGCTTCGGACATTGATAGTCGTAAATACATTTATAGTCGTAAATACGTTGATAGTCGTAAACTCAGAATTTGGTTAGCAGTTTGACTGCGGTTATAAAAACGAAATTTAAAAACAATCGAATAAAACGTAATGAGGAGCTTACCAAAAGTACTAAAACAACTAATTTCATGTTCTGTAATTGTCTACCCATTTTTGCTTTTGCTGAACTTATCAAATATTCAAGTGGCAAAATTACCAGTTGGTTGATTTACGATAACTTTAATACTTTTTAATTATGGATGCAGAATATAACAAAGATTTAGAAGAATGGATTACTAGCGACACAAGTGGTCACTTCCAAAATATTCTGCGATCTCTGGCCTCAGCAGAAAGAGACGAGAGCGTCGAGGTAGACTTCAAAAAAGCTGAAAGGGATGCCCAGAGACTCTATGATGTAAGCTACTGTCTTCAGTATTTAAAGTCAATAATGGGAGAGCTAATAGAAAATATTTTGCTTCACATAATTGTTTTTTGAAGTATAGTGAAATAACAAAAACTATACAAAATATATTAGGTGTACTGGAAAATTTTGTATGCGAAAGAACACACCCCGTCATACAAGGATGCAAAAGGTTGGGCATTTACCCATGAATGTACACCGAGCATTATGACCACCCTCCATCTATAACAATGGGCTCGCCCAGGTTTTCATGGTTTCTCACCCAGGAACAATGTTTTCATGGGGCACATTAGAACCCATAATCCTCATAGAACAATCCCTGACGTCTGTAAGCTACTTGAACATAGTTGCAGACCAGGTTCACCCATTCATGGCAACAGTTTTTCCTGCGGGTGTTTACCAGCAGGATAATGCACCATGTCATAAGGGTCGAATCGTCATGGATTGGTTCGAGGAACATTCCAGTGACTTTCAAGTCATGTCTTGGCCCCCAAATTCTCCTGACCTTAATCCAATAGAGATTTTTTTGTGGTCCTACTTGGAAAACCAAATTTGCTGCCACGCTACCCCGTCGCAATGTGAGGGAATTGCAGGACCAGTTGTTGATCGCTTGGTACCAGATACCTCAGACTACCTATCAGCCCCTTGTGGAATCAATGCCACGGCGGGTGCTAGCAGTTTTGAGGGCTAAAGGTGGTCCTACATGTTAGTAACAGGGTGGTCATAATGTAATGGCTCTTCGGTGTATATTTTAGATGTATTGCTGCATTTTGCCGGATACTTTCGTTACAAGTTTGAACATGTATGCACCTGCTATTTTGCGCCATATATGCCGTGTCTCTTTAACCTAGAACATTACCATTGAGTTAAAAGGTGAATACCTACCACTTTCTTTTATGAAAGAATCTTTTGCATTATTGTAAAAGTAGGCATGTATTTTCGTGGGCAGAATCTTCCAGTAGACGTAATATTTATGGATCCATATTTTCGATAGCTGTCCTGATTTATTCAATTAGACAGCAATTTCTAGTTTATGTTCCCATGCATATGGAGTATCTTATGAAAAATTTTTGCGGATTGTATTAACCCCTTAACTTGCGCGCTCGAGTTAATTTGAGCGCGCTAAACAGGCCAAACTGTGCACACTTGAGATAATTCGAGCGGTGTTGTATTTTATGCTGCTATAATTTTTCACACTCGAATATAATCAAGAATTGAAAATAACAAAGTGAAAGCTAAGAAAAAAAATCGTTTTACTGAAATTATCGTTTACATGGAATTGTAAGCTATAACATTTATTTATTCAAGAATAAAATATGGCCTTTTTCCATGGAATAAAAGCGCAGTATATCAAAATTGTCTATCAAAAGAAAAGTTGAACCAGGAGCGGAATAAATTTTTTTACGTAAAAAAATTGATTTTTTTGGCCTGTTCTTTTCAAAAAAATCTGTGCTTTATTGTCATTAATCTACAGCATTAATTAATTAGCGTAATTTTGGCCTGTCCCTGAAATAATGAATATTGCTTCCTTGTCCAGGAAGTTTGATTACAAGGTCAAAAATTATTTAAAGTGTAATGTTCCACTTCATTTTATACTTATTGAACTTTCAATTCTATTACATAAAATTGTCTGTAGAATTTTTGTAAATATCCCTGGAGAGGGAAAAAAAAAGTTTTATTTTTCAAAAACAATCGCTAAAATGGTGAAGTCTCAAATCAGCGGTTCTCAAATTTTTTTTTTGACCTCGGAAACCTGAATGATCGACCCTTTTTTGGCAGAACCCTGATTTAATAAATAAAATTCTTCAGCAATTTCAAAAAATATTTAAAGAAACTCTATTAATGATTTTGAAACTATTTATTATGAGGAATTGAGTCAAGGTAGTTCAGGGGATAGAACGTTTGCCTCCGGATGAGGTGAACCTGGTTCGAATCCCTGCGATGGCTGGTCTATACGAATTCCACACCCGGCTCGCTTCCACCACAGTGCTGACGTAAAATATCCTCAGTAGCAGATGGATCATGGGTTAGAGTCCCCTTGCTGTCAGACTAGCCGTGGGAGATTTCCGTCCTTCTCGAAGACAAAATTTCTCCCAATACTTGATCCTGGAGCTTCCTTGTCTTCTGGATTGGGTTCAAAATTAAAAGGGTACGGATTTTAGCATTGGTAGAAGTAAACTCAAAATTGGATCGGATGTTCACCGACGGTTATAAAATAAAATATGAGGAATTAAATAATTTTCCCATCCTTTTATGAATAATAGTCATAAAACAAGGAGCTATGCTAAACAGTTGACTTCGCGGGTCTGACAGAAACATCTAGTCTAACTCTGAATTTATTTTTGGTGTTAAGCATGAACTGATCTATACGAAATTATTAAGCGAATTATTTCATTTAAGCGAATTATTGTTTTCTCTTGAATGAAAATGAAAAAAGAATGCTTATAAACATTTTTAATGGTTAACAGAGAAACAAGTTTCTTTGTTGATGAATTCGGTTGTTTGCTTTTGAATGTAAAAAGTTGATAGGAAGTACTAGTGCAAGTATTGTTATTGTTTAAAGTAATACTATCTTTTTAACTGACACTTTGCTTGAATAATTTCATAAAAATAACCGAAATACTAAATTACTAATGATTGGAAATAAATCAAAAATCGTTACTGTTTTAAAAATAGTTCTAACACCTTTGGGAACAGCAGCTCTAATTAATAGTTCAAAAGGCAATTAAGGTTGAAGTGCATAAACCCTGATTGATTCCAAAAATGACTTAAGACAAGTTGGTTTCAATAGAATGGTTTTGATGAACCAGTAGCTTGAAACAGCACGGAGATTATCAAACGTACACCTCTAAAATTTATTCATAACCAAGCAAGTATTCATCTAAAACAAACAATTCTTTATACTCTTTTGGTCTGATATGCTCCACCTTTAAACGTTTCACTAATGGCGAAATTTTTAATTACACACGGTTTCTTGAAAAAACAAATCGTGATTGCAATGATTTCTTTCTAAAATTGCCTTAACATTCACTCAAAACTGGAACTAATGGAAGGAATATACCCTTACAAGATTTAGCTATTATTTTCGTTATTAAAATTCAATAAAATAGATAAAAGAGAACTTTTGGAAACTTTTTTTTTAACTAGTAAGACGCTTGATTTAGTTAGTTCATGCCAAAGTTTTCTGTTTAATGGTGTAACTTGATTGTGAGTAAATAAGAATATATAATACATGTTTTCATAATTATATTAAAATTACTCCATGCTTTTTGGCATATACTTATAAAGGTTAGATTATTTAAATTTTGAGATTCAGCATAAACTTCGAATCACAAATTTTAATCCCAAATCCCCTTTTATGTCTGATAGATTGAGGCAATTTTTATTTCCTCATCATTTAAGAGTTTTAAGTAATTTTCAGTAACACAGTCTAAGGAGTGATATTGAATTCCTTACATGAGTAGGGGAGAGTGGTGTCAATTATAACATTTTTTACTTAACTATTTTTAACTAACAAAAATCCAATATATTATTAGTATTAATTGACAGACGAGTAAAGTAGACTATTTTCTACTAGAAAAAAAATTAAATACCTGATTTTAAATATTATTATATTAGTTATTAACAATTTTTGACAGTCGTGCACTTGTTACAATTGTCCCCACTTACGGGGTCGATTGTAACAGTTCATAAATTCAACTAAAACATAGTTAATTATACATATTATCATAGTTGTGATATATTTTTTTATTGATCAAAATAGTAGTGATATTTTAGGAGTAAAAATAATAATGAGCAGAGACCTAAAGGGTTAAACTTTTAACTTTAAGGGGTTAAAAATTTTAATTTATGCTGTGAAAGGTGACAAATAAAATAATGCACATGCAACATAATATAAATGATATAGGAAACTATTGGTGGTTCTTAAAGAGTTAAGTAATGGTTTGTAAACATAAGATTATTTATTTTCAGCTGTTACAATCGTCCCTTTACTTATTGTTACAATTGTCCCCAAGACGCCATTTCAGCTTCATTTGTTAAAAACAATGCTAGTTAATTAGCAAAACTAATCTTTTTTTTTTTGAAATGTTAATTAAGGTGTCCACTTACATATTCGGTTACTAATTTTTATTTGTTTAAACAAAATTACTTTGTTACAATATAATATTCTAATACCAAAAAAAGTACTTGCGTGGCGTGAAAATATCTTTTGTGATGTAACTCTTTCAAAAGTACATAAAAATGGTTGCCATCAGGGGTGTACATGTAGATTTGTTAAATATACCTTGTGCACCACCTAGGAACCAAATCTAGAACCCGACACTCGAAATTTTTGCTCTGTTACAATCGTACCCTGTTACAATTGACTCCACTATCCCCTATAGATCGAGGCCAAAAAAAAGTTCTCGAATATTTTTAGGGCAGGGGTTAAAAAATATAGAGGAGGGAAACATTTTCCTCAAGAAACCCCAGACTTAAGTAATAGAAAATTTTTGGTATATATGTTCTGTATTTCTCCTATTATTTTATTGCAACATTATTACTAGTGATATTCAGATTTTATAGCAGGTTAAATAGTCGATAAAAAGAATAATATACAAAGAATCTTTTGTCAATTACTAAGAAATGTCAAAGGTACATTCCATAAATAAAATGTACATGCATGCGGTGGATGAAAGTTGTGAACAAATTAATTAAATGAGTTAAAGGGTGTTAGAAGTCTTCCTTTTTAAATCATCATTACACACATACGCTGGGGATTAAATATGTAGGACTTAAAACGCCCCACATCAATTTTGTTGATTGGACTTTCCATTTTTAGTTCGTCATTAGTTTTGCTATGCAGGTAAGTAGTATGATTATTTTTGTATTTTTTCGATTGGTTTCCACCTAATATGTACAACTAATTTTTAAAAATTCTTTTATCTTAGTTTTAAATAGAGGAGAGTATGGGTGGGAGACGGGGTGGGTAGGTTATTCGGTAGTCCAGCTTTACACGCCTTTTCTAAGGATTCACACTTTAGTAAATGATGAAGATTTATTACAAAAATAGAATTTTTCTGCTAACTTTCTATAACCTCTGATCCTGGGGTAAAACCGGTTACTAATCGGTCTTGCGCCTACCTTCTTGACCAAACAAAACTTTGTTTGGTCAAGAAGGTATATTTGAGATTGCCCTCGCTTGATAGCATATTTGAGATTGCCCTTTCGAACCTTTAAGATTGAGCTCTTAAAGATCCGATCATTAGCTCAAAAGTTATACAAGGTGGTTCATTTATTTATTATTTTTTGTGTGCACAGTACATAAATTGTTCGCTATCAGGAAGACATAATTCAGGAAAAAAAATAACTTTTTAAAATGGTATTGTATTTTGTATTTATGGTACTGTATGATTTCAATTCCAGGGTGGTGTCAATCAGTTCGGTGTAGATGGCGAACTGTTCACGAAGATTTTGTGTTCCAGGAGTGCATCACAGCTTCAGGCAATATTCGATGCATACGAGAGGATAGCCGGGCATTCTCTCACAGCAGCCATTCGATCAGAATTTTCTGGAGATTCTAAAGAAACTCTTCTTGCAATCGGTGAGTTATATTTTTAGAATTTACAGTTAGTTCAGAATAATATTTGGAATAGATAACCTAGAATTACTGTCATATATTTTTATGTATACAAGGTTATTCAGCGCAGCGTTTACAAACATGGATAGGATGTTAGGCACAATGACTGAGAAATTTACAGCAACCCGCAGTCAGAAATGTCATCGTAAGCCGATAGGTGACGCTTCCCTATTATGAACTGCTTGCAGGGTTGCAGTAGAATTCATTTATTTTTTGTAAATTCAGTAGTTTTCTTATTGTTTATAAAATTTTAATGCCCCTGACTGATCGTTAAGACACGGTTCCCAGCAGATCACCGAAGGCAAGCATCACTAGCTGCGGTCAGTGTGCGGGTGGGTAACCACTTGGATCAGTCTGCTTAGGGACCGTAGGTGTGCGGTATTGGTCCTCGTTATACTGTTCTACCGTAAAGTGCTCGACTTCGAGCGCAGGTCGTCGGGCTACCGAAGCGGGGATGTCATCCCCTCTGCAGAGGATCAAAATTGTGATGGCATGTCTTCGGATCATCCTCAGGGATGTTTCCCAGACCGTCGCCAATAGCCCATTGTGTAGCTCTAGTGCGACGTAAATAAACTACTACTACTACTACTGAAATTTTGATTTTATAAATTATTTTATTATTGTAACTCAGTGTAAGAATGAGGAGAGCACAGTTACAATATAAAAAATTTCGAATCAAATTACTATGCAAAAGTGTCGGCACTTAAGGTGTCGGTATTTTTTACCATAAAATCCATTTTTACCGGAACATGTTACGGAACAAAAAATCTGATATACCGTAATTTTTACAGTAATAATAACCGTAAAATCACTGAATCACTCTAACTAAATATTACTGTAAAAATTACGGTATAATATTTTACTGTAAAATGGATTTTATGGATGACGCATCCAAAGTGCCGGTACTTTATTCTGTAATTTGATCCGGTATTTTTTGTAATATAGCTGAAAACATTTGCATGGTTACTAAGATATTTTTCGTGAATTTTTGTGAATATATCTTTAAAGTATAAATGGAATAAAAATACGTAAGGCATTTGTATGCTTTAATAACTGTTTTTGAAGATCCTTGATTTAAAGTGGCTTAAATTAAGGTAATTTTAAACTAAATGTTGTTAGAAACAAAAGTTTGTATAACATTTTAACATGTTATTATTATTTTTTTCCTCCAAAATGTACTGTTTATGCAATACTGAAAAGTTTACGTCTACAATGCTGACTGGTTGCTCAGGTGCATAAGTATCGGTATTGTTATTCATCCAAATTATCTTAATTTTATGTTTTGTCATAATTGACGTTGAATATTTCCCAGATTGGTTGTTTCATCGTATTTGTTTGATTTATCGTCTAACTCAATGCCATGGACTTTTAATAATTATGGACTTATAACCGAATCCATAATTACAAAAAAATACGATTTCTTAGAGTATTTAAATACGATTTTCAACTATATTATTGAAAACTATAAAGTTCAGAAACAATAAGATGGTTTAGATAAATTCAAACATCGTTAAAAACATGCTTGAACAGCTAGTCCAATATAGGGAAGACATCTCAACAACGTAGGATGAAATTTTCGACTATATGTGTTAATCATGCGTGCAATTATTAATTCTTATGATGTACTCCACCACTCTTTCTAGTTTGTAACCGTTGTACTGAATCTCCTTGTATATGATTCCTGCCTGTGGACACAAAGGCAAATCAGCTGCTCGCCGAGAGGTGGATAATTCTGCGTAAGAGTTTTATGTTTTATAGGTACAATACGTGATAACAGTGTATTTTTAATTACTAGCTCTACTATTCGACATTTTGAGTTGTTGTTGTTGACAGTATGCCTGTTTAGGCAGAGGGGTGCGATTGCTCTTGTTTTCCAGTGGCGCGCCATCTATGGACAAGAATTCGACTTCTGCCACACCATACGTCGCACCTGTTTATAGGGCGGACCCATTCCTACATCCATTTATTCATCCACAGATCGTAATTTTTGACCTGAATCAGAGAACGATCGATCTCCAATCCAGTACCCCCAGAGGTTTTGATTTGTTATGGGAACATGGAGGACTTTTGCGACTCGACAGATTTAACGTGCATCAGTCACTTTACTACACGGGGAGTCTTCGGCCTGCGGGGTTCGAATCCTCGAACTCACGGACATGGACAATGCGCTCTACCAGCCAGCAGGCTATCCCGGCCTTTGAGTAAAGGTAGAAATTGATAATTGTTTTAAATGTGTGTAAAACAATAAATGTTATAAAATTAACGTTCTGAACACTAAATCAAGATAACGAAAATCTGGGAACATACAATCGATAGGAATAAATCAAGATAATAATGATTAGATTTTTTTTTTTTGGTTTTTCGCAGTTTTAAAATTTATGGTTTTAACTTGGATTTCGCTAATATTAAGCAATTGGTCTGTTTGTCTTGGTCAGCTGAATATGATTAGCCACGTTCAAAACTGAACTCGATTAATTTTGAAACTAAGCTATAGAGCTTGTGCATTTTTGCAACCGAAATTAAAAATGTATATATTCCTTATTTGTTATTGTTTTTTTTCGTCAAGCTGAACTTTTGCATTTGATCTTTAAATCAATTTAATAATTATCATATATACTGTCTTTTTCTTCACCATAATTCAAATGACATACTTCAATCATTGTTTTCATTTTCAGTGTATTGCATAAAGCAGAGAAATCGTTATTTTGCGAAGGAGTTAAAAGAATGTTTGAAGGGGCTTGGGACAGATGATTCAGCTTTAGTTAGAATACTTGTTTCGAGATCAGAGGTAAGAAATATGGTTCCTCTTTCAAAAATTGGTAAAACAAAATATTTGCTTGAACAGAATATTGGTTTGAAAAACATTAATTATAAAAATGTCGATAATAGTTTCCGTTGTTTTAAGAAGGATTAAATATTTCTGAAGGCTAAATCTCATTAAGGCTGTTTTTGGAGTATTGAAACAAATTCAAATATAATTCAAAGCTAATTATGAAAATGGCGCAAAACGAAAACAAGAAGAAAAGAGCATGTCATGTAAAAAAGAAAAGAGCTTAGGATCTAATTTTTTAACATTTGAAAAATTATTCCAAATTTACAATAAAGAATTGATAAAACTATAAAGAATTAAGAATTTTTCTTCAATTTTAAAGATTTCCACTTGGATGGAAAAATCTCGCCAAACTGGCGAATTTAAAAAAAAAATATTTGAGCTATTTTTTCGATCCAGAAAAATCTTTAACGCCAAGATTAAAGTTTAAAACTATATCTTTGTCTTTGTTTCAAAAGTAAAACGCTTAAACTGTGGCTTTTATGTTATACTTGGCGAAAAATCTTCAAACGACACCCTTAAATTAAAGCTGGTCTGACTCGGAGGATATAATGATCGTTTCCCCATCAACTAACCTAATGCTTGATTCAGAAGTTTTCTTGTCTCCTGTGTTGTGTTCAATAATACAAAGATATGGAGTTGAATATAAGCAGAAGCAAATGCGATGTGATATCGACAACTCAACGCTAGTTACGAAACAGAGTTAGACTTATAGTTTCGAATAAAATGAAACATGTATCTTTTGATCATCGATTCTGAAGTAAATTTCTTAAATTCTTCCTCAATAATTTAAAGACTCTCGTACCTGAGGCAAAAACCAAAATCACTTGCTGATTGGCTAAAGTCTTAATGGGCAACTTCTTGCACGAAGTCCTACACATAGTATAGATTTTTAATTCCTTGTATTCTCTAAATGAATTAATAAACGAAATTTTTAAATTACGGTAGAATTCGACGAAGTACTTATTGGAACAGATTTTTTAAGAAAGTGGTTGCAGTGTAAAATGATTCGGGTTCAAACAGAATCACAAAATAAATTTTGAATTAAGTAAGCGAACCTAAGTCTTTTAAGAAAAGTTTATATCATGAAAATTTTCTGAAACTTAAGAACTGCTTCTGAATGAAACAATGTGCATTGATTTAAAATAACGAGGGTAATTGCTTAGTAGTTATGAGGGTCATGAAGCAGAAAACAAAGCTCTCAACATTAAATGTAAAAAAGTGATTTGTTAAAGAGGCACTTAAAAAAACGAGAATTGTACTAACCGATAACCTTACCTATACATCAAAGGTCTTGGATACATCTTTAATAATTATTGAGAAGAACATTTTAATTATTTATTTGTGTCTGTTTCAGTTTACAAAAAACCCCTCTCCCTAGCATTAATAGTAGTTGTTTCATCAATTAATGTTATGAAATACAATTAAATCGATATGTTAATAAATATTATGTACCTTTAAGTATAATCTAAGTATTTTTTCCTTTCTCTTATTTTCAAGTGGTTGAAATCTTTGTGGCACTCTTTGTTTAAAGCCTATCCACCACGACAAGGTGGTGCCACATCAGATAGGATCGGTTTTTAACTGACCTGCCAAAAACCGTATAAAAAGCAGACAGTGATTCGATTTTTAATTGTCCTTTGGCCAAAAATCGTGTAAAATGCAATCAATCATTTGGTTTTTAATTGTCTTAAAGCCAAAAACCACAGAAAAAGCAACTGCAAGAGAAGGTTAACTTTTAGTAGGCAACCTTCTTCCTCCTCTTTCTTGGAGGCTGTCCAGACACAACATAAGCCCATGGGAAACCCTCATGGTAACACACACCCTGATCAGCAGACTGATCAGCTGGACATCTTTTCCTCTTTGTGCCAGACTGAGTCTGCACAAAGTCAGTTGCAGGTGAATTAGATTTTTCACCCTGTTCATCGATGGTAGCTGAACAGCAACTGAGTTTGGAAAAGAACTTGCAGATCTTTTTGAACCACTTCATAATGTCAGTGGATATTCTTAACACTTTTTTGAAAAGAGCTTAATAAGAACAAGTTAATCGTACCACTGTCAAAGTAGGAATGACTAAAAAAAATCAAGTTCTCATTGTTAGCATATTTAATAGTTAAAGTATTGTTGAGATTAAAAAAAAAAGTAGTTTTGCTAATAACGACTCTAAACAATGAGCGACTGTATTGTTTACATGAACTGCAAAGTTACATTGTTAGGTGAGATTGGAGGTTTAATAAAATGAAGAGACACTGATTATTAATGGATGATAATATCCATCTCGCAACAAGAGACGTTGAAAAATGTTACTTCTTTCTGAAATTAATTAAGAAAATTTCATAATATTTATAGATATGCCCACAACAATAAAACTCTTTCACCTAAATATAGCTTTTTTAAAATTATTATTATTATTTTTCTTTTAAATTTTACTTTTTATTAATAATTTTTAATGCTTAATAATTTTTAATGCTTATTAATTTTTGACTTTCAATCAAACCATGTTTTAAAGCTTTTTGAACCACTTAAAAGTATTAATGAATTAATATAGTCAAAATCAAAATTAAAAAAAAAAATTCTTTTAGCATTTTTTTAGAAAAAGAGCTTGGTAATTAAATTTTTTTTTAATTTATCAATTAAAAAAACCATCATTTATATTTTAATTCCTTACAAAAATATACAGAAGATTTTTCAAGCATTCGTTGGTTACATTTAATTTATCTTATTATAATTTTATTTCATTTCAAGTTACAAGCAACATTAATCTCAAATTTAACACTCTCTAATTTAAATAAGTTGCACTTTAAAAATTAAAGGAAGTACTTATGACTGTATGAAATATCTTCTTTATTACGAGGGACTTCGTGGGTTACATTTAATTTATCCTATTATAATTTTTATTTCATTTCAAGTTACAAACAACATTAATCTCAAATTTAACACTCTCTAATTTAAATAAGTTGCACTTTAAAAATTAAAGGAAGTATTCATGACTGTATGAAATATCTTCTTTATTACGAGGGACTTAATTTTGTAAGAAGGAAAAATAGCTTCATTCAAACATTTTAATTCAACATCATTTAACAAATCAATACCTCTGGGGATGCTGGATCGGAAATTGATAGTGCTTTGGTTCAGGTCAAAACTACGATTTGTAGATGGATGGGAGGTGTGCGGATGTGACTTCTCTGTAAAATGGGCTGTGGCGTATGTGTGTAGCGAATTCTTAACCATAGATGGTGCCACTGGAAAAACAAGAAGAAACGCACCCCTCTGCCTTAAAATAGGCTTGTCAATATTGACAAGTGGTATAACACAGTAACAACAACTCAACATCACCGTGTTACATTAAAAAAAAAAAGCTTTGAAATTAATACTGTCGACATTATTAATATTTTTCACTTTCTTCTTATTATGTGAATTTACTGATTTTAATATTTAAACATCCAAATCATTTCACAATTTTGACGCGCAGTGACGCTTAGAATACAAATTACAGCTAGGTTCTGTTACTAAATGTCTTGGCTGATTACATGCCTTTTTTATGCTAGTTACTTGTATATAATATCATTTCAAGTAGAGGCGTGTCGGCTCAGCTCTATTGTGAGGATTGTGTTTTGGGTGGGATTTGCAAAATTGTAAAAAAAAAAAAAAAA